CGGGCCTATATGGCGCTCCATGTGTTATTTCGCGGTCTTCGAGTTCCTCGGGACTGTTCTGCCTGTTCTCGGCTTACCTTCGCCTTTCTTATCTTCGGGCCTCGCCGAGCCACCGCCGTCGCGATCACTCATATCGGAATACCTGCCGTGGCCGCTTATCGAGAGACAAGTATCGTCAACAAGTACATCAAATACGAAAAAATGGTCTCACTCGACAGTTTAACTGCCTGACAAATCCTGCGGTATTTTTATGATTCGGATAATTTTCTTTCTTGGACGTCTCTGCGATCTCTCGAAGATACCTGTCTTTCCAAAGTCGCTATTTATCTCTTTTATTTGTAAAACAATTTTATTAATTTCTACTAATTTGTCGAAAAATTGGTAACACATATTTGATTGACGATAAGACCTTTTAATTTTTTCGCGCGTCTAAATTAACTCTCCGCGTGCATTGTTAGGTCGGTGAGACCCGAAGGGAATATTCGTACGTTCGTCAACTTTCGTCAAGTCTCCGAGAAAATTCCACAATAGCGCAAATCTGTTTGGAAATTTTGATTTTATTGCGCTGCTATATTCATAGTTTTCCATATCTCTGGAACAAAAGGTGTCCAAGAATATTGATTGTCAATAATAGTTAAAGTTAAGATTTGAAATTTACCCGAATCTGATTGGTCTAAAAAAATATGATTACACGCGGAGAATTAAATGACGCTTTCGTAACGCGTGAGAACGCGCGAAGGGAAACGATACGCGTCTCCCGGGTCGGCATTTTTCCTCACATCGACGCCGCGCGGCTTGCAATTTCCGGCCGAATACATAGGCGGTAAATCTTACCTCTCTGCTCATCGTAACGTCCGTAATGAATCATTGTAAGCGACTTTACGTCGAGCCTATCACTCGAAATCACGGGCCGTCATCTGATGGCCCGACGGCTGTATTACGTCAACAACGTCTGCATAAATCATCGCGTCGTCGATATCGTTCGGGGACCACCGTCGTCAGCCCATCGTTTTAGATTCCACGCGTAGGTGGTTGTGCTACAACTCGTGCCCATACCGCGCTGACAGGGAACTCGGGTCGCGACAGTAGCAATAATTCCTAACGATTTTATCTCCGTGGAATTTCAGCCGAGACGCAAATGTCTCTCGTAAATATGCGCGACGATGTCGCTTAGGACAATCTCGAGAATGACGCTGGGAGATTGTGGATATTTGCTCTATGTGTTTCATCGAGCCTCTGGATCGCAACACGTCCGCCTCGCAGACCCCGTAAATTAATCGTCTTAATCGCGAGAGATGAAGAACATCGGTGCAGAAGTGTGCTACGATCGTAACTGGAGACGTTCACGAATAGACGTGCACTAGATGTCATACGTCTTAAAAATTATTATTATTACAAAAACACGACTTATTCGCGGTACATTATATCCAAATTGATTTATGTTTGACTTCAATCATTTCATTGAGAAAAAATTATTTTTATCGCGCGAGATTTTCTTCGATTGCTCCTTAAATCAGACTTTTCTCTTTCCTAACTGCGATCTCGTACCATTTTTTTAAGTTTTTCAATTTCTTTAGTTAAAAAATTCATAGAAAAGTGTCGATGTAAAAATCTTTGACCTGACTAAAATTATTTTTGACTTCAGCCATATTTTTTGGCTATTTTACTACGAAAATGCTAGTAGTGACATGCAAATAAGATAATGCTAGTAGTGACATGCAAATAAGATTATCATCACTAACATCATAGTAGAATTTAATTTAAAAAATATGGTTTTCTTAACCATAATTTATAATAATTATTTCTCTATGTGTAATTATTTCTCTATATAGTTACAAGATATTTCTTTCTCAGTGCAATAAATATATAAACACGACCCCAACATGCTTCTTGTGCCAAATAAGCCCCTAATATTAGCTTGTTCCGATTAGCCATATCAACGAACATTGTTCGGTTTACTTAATTTTCTGTTGAGAAAGCCTCGAGAGATATACATTCCGCGCATACACATATTCCTGAGCCCGAAACGCTCCGAATCTGTCACCGCCCTTGACACTCCGCCGCAAGTCTCGAGCACGACGAAGAAATTTTCATCGACATGTGTGCGCGTGTGTTTACTCTGTGGCCACGCTCTGGCTGCACCTTCTTCAACTACGCTCTCTCTTTCTTTCTGTCCTTCTTGTATTATTTGAACGAGTCGATAAAGCCGCCGTCGAACTATTTATCGTACGCTGAACAAGAGCGAGGAACGGCACGTCGAGGGCAAATAATCGCGCGCGTTGCCAGGATTAACGGAGTCGCGCTTTTTTTCTCTGCCTTCGTGAACTTTCCGCTCGATATACCTCCCTCGTTCTCCGAGGAAACCCCGTTCCTTCGGTTTCCTCCCTGCGCGCCGTTTTATCCTCCCGCGCATGCCGATAACGTGTCGCGGTCTTCACGCGTCACGTCGAAACGAGACCGCGAGACTCGCTTATCTCGCCAGCGGGAGAGTCCGATTGTTTGAAAGTCGTAAAACCCCGTCTGGAAGAAAAGAATCGAACGGGTAGGATTCCACGAATTACGAAATCCTGCACGAGAGGCAATGAGCGTTCATCAAGGAGGCCGTTCGCCGCGCGCGGATGATTGAACTCGCTCGCCGAGGGCCACGTGGGGCAACGCGTGATTCAGCGAGGTGTGCACGGCATCACGAGACACGCTACACCTTTGCTTGTCCAACAGAATTAAGACGGAACGGGGAAAACACGTGGAGATTTTGCCGGAAACGCGTTCGCCGGAAAATGTCCGTCTCTTACAACAGTCTGCCTTTCGCGCACTTTTCATCTCGTCCGACCAGTTGACGACTGTCTCGTTTGGTTTCGCGCCACCTCGCGCGCGTATATTGTCAAACGGAAGGACACCCTGTCGTTCTCGTTAATCTTTCGGGCTGACGACGTCTCGTACGGGGGGACAATGTGACCGCGGTGTAACCTACTCTGTCACGGTAGTCCTGGATTATGACAAATAATATCTGGAACAGATCGAATTTAGGATGAGAGGGGAGATGCAGAGAGAAGGATCCACCGTGATAATGGGGTGTAACGACGTAAATCTTCTGAGTGCTGCGAGAACCCTCTTTCGTTTGTGCAGCTTGTGTGCCCCTCGCGTTCGTTCTCTCGCTTCCGCCCAGCGCGAGATTAGGAAAAATCGTCCTGCTCCAGCCGTCCTCTGCTCTCTCACCTTTCCTCCCTTTCCCTTTCTTCCGTGATCTCGCACAGTCTTGATTCAGCTATTCTTTCTCTCGCCATGCTCGGTCGCGGTTCACTACCGTGAAGGAGGAAACACGCAACGGGATGCCATCGTCGTGACGATGGAAGAGACTTGTGACGAATTTTTTGGCCTCATAGCCGAGCTCGATTCGTCGCGGATGATCAAGCCGGTCGTCGTTGTCGGCCGAGCCAGCCACCCCTCGCACGAGGTTGAATCGTTTAACGTCTTATTCTCGCTCGATTTGACGGATTCCTCTTCATCTTGGTGTGCGTCAATCGAAATTCCTCTCGCTGACTTTTCCCTGATCGGCCACTTTATTCGAAAAAATGTTTTGCTAGTCCAGATAGAATTCTAAATGTTACAGTTGAAATTTATCACTATTTTTTTGTATCTACTAGAAGTTACAGCAACAGTGTTGTAGCAATATCTGCTAGTAAATGTGAGAAGTAGGGATGGGCAAAAAGAATCGATGTTTAGAAAACATCGATGTTCGCTTATTGAGGATAGTATTACATGTAGAGAAAATATTAGGGTCTTTAGAAATTCTCTATCCGGCAGCCAATCGGTGCACGACTTTCTACATGTAATATCATCCTCAATGAGCGAACATCGATTTTTTTTTCCTATTCCTAATGAGAAGAACATATACGATGTCGCAGTGTTTGTTAGGTATTTATTCGTCTTAGTAAATTTCTCGTATCTAGACAATTTTCTCCATGACTGCAAAACTATTTTTCCTAGAGAATTTAAGAAGTTTAGATCCAAGGACTTCGGAATTAGTGGAATCAGCCGCGAATACGCATATTAAATTTGTTTATATATCAAATACAAATATATAATTCCTACTAACTTATGCTGGACAGATTATATAATTATTAATTTACGGAGAATGTGTTGTTTAAAATAATTTAGTCATTATCCATTTAGTCATCTGTTCCAAAGAGAACTCTCGAGGGCGAATTGCGGTTGAACTGGGGACAGGAGACGCTTAAAAGTGAGGAAAACTTGAAACTCGTCTCGAAAAGATGCAGCAGATATGATATCTCTCTCGCTAATGGGACCATGTAACATTGTCTTGACACGGTGCGAGCTCGCAATTTACGAAATCGCCTCGTCCGCTCTTCCCTTCGTGATATCTTCACCGGCACAAAAGGAGCCGGCAGGCACCTGCGTCTTATGCAGATAAGGTCGAGGTGCTTCGGGTCAGCCCACTCAGGGTTAAGGTCACGTACCGTCTCCCGCCTGTCTCTCTTCCTCCCTCTGCCGTTCTCCTCGTCGCTCCCGCGATCCTCGCCACTCCCGTTCTCCCTCGCCACCTTCCACCTGCGAGGACCTCTCGCGCGCAGGTAGTCTCCTGCGGAGGATTGAGACGTTGCCTGACGTCACCACTCACCTCCCACGCGACTAACCACCGTGAAAGTTTTGTCTGCGCTGCCGGCGAGAGCATAGCAATATTGATATCTGTATTCCCTTTCAGTCGAGAAAAATAAATTCCATGAAAGTCCGCGACTGCCGAAAAATGTTCCGATCGCAATTGTGATCGAAGGAAAGAGGAATCATCTTCGAGCGTTCGCAAAAGACGCTAAGTGAAATTTAAAGTTGATAATATAATCATTGCGCGGCAAAGAAATGATACGCGTAGCTATTAGTGAAACGACATTTAGAGACCCGTACGTGTTCCCGTTGGTTGCGTCTGGTCCGAGGAAGGATTCCAGCACGGCGCGCGTCATAAATTTCCCGTGATTTCCTTGCAGGATGCCGAGAGACCGCCTTCATCTACGCCATCACGAGCGCGGCTGTGACTCACAGCATCGCGAGGGCATGTAGCGAGGGCAGCATACAGTCGTGTTCTTGCGACTATACTCACCAATCACGCATATCATCCTCCGCCATTCGGGACTGGGAATGGGGTGGTTGCTCGGACAACATCGGGTACGGCTTCAAGTTCTCTCGCGAATTCGTCGATACCGGCGAGCGCGGTCGGAATCTCCGCGAGAAGATGAATCTGCACAACAATGAGGCCGGTAGAGCGGTAAGCGCGTTTTTCTCCTTGATTTTTATGCCTGTCCACACGTAAAGGAACAAAACGTTACTTTCTCTCAAGAGAGTGATTTGTTTCTTATTTATTTATATTCTATTCATTTTTATTCTTACATAGTTTTACATATCTTTATTTTCACTTCTACATCACTACCGTTTTATCATAATTTACTTTTAATATTTCATTTCAATTTACTTTCTACTTATTGTGGCGTAAAGTCACCTTAAAGGATAACTTTTATGGAAAAAAATTGCTCAATTAACATCGCGATTCGTAAACTTATCAAAGTGACTGTCAAAGTACGAAACCGATCGATCGAACAAAGCATCCAAATAAGCTCTGCAATATGAAGCGGAGACAAAGATCTCCCGAGGATCTCACCCGAGAAGAGAAAAATACCGGGTTCCGTCTGTTGTTCGTTATAGCACGTGTCCTCGGAGATGCGGCAGGAGTGCAAGTGTCACGGCATGTCGGGCTCGTGCACAGTTAAGACCTGCTGGATGCGGTTGCCGAACTTCCGTGTGGTTGGCGACAACCTGAAGGACCGTTTCGACGGTGCCTCTCGGGTTATGGTCAGCAACTCGGACCGCACGCGCGGCAACAGCAACACCATCATCAGCAACTCCGCCAGCAACTCGGTGCACAGCCATCGCGAGGGTCCGCCGCGCCGTCATCGCTACAACTTCCAGCTCAAGCCGTATAATCCGGAGCACAAGCCGCCTGGACTGAAGGATCTGGTCTATCTGGAGCCGTCGCCGCCGTTCTGTGAGAAGAACCCGAAACTCGGCATCCTGGGCACTCATGGGCGGGTCTGCAATGACACCAGCATCGGCGTGGACGGCTGCGACCTCATGTGCTGTGGCAGGGGCTACAAGACGCAGGAGTTAATGGCGTTCGAGAGGTGCGCTTGCACCTTCCACTGGTGCTGCGAGGTCAAGTGCCAAGTGTGCAGGACGAAAAAAATAGTACACACATGTCTGTAGAGGATCTCGCGCTCGGTTGGTCTCGCGAGCTTCGCAGGTGACGTGAAGTTACGAAAGGAACTGAGCTATTTTGGACTCGTGCTTTCTTTGAGAGAGAGAAAGATCTCTCCGACAGTGTAACGACACGCGGTCCCTGCTCTACGGGACGGGATCACATCCTCATTTCAGAATCGAAAGACGCTGGCAGTCTCTCTCTCTCTCTCTCTCTCTATCTATCTCTCTCTCTCTTCTTGCGCTCGCGCGAACGACCGACGGTCTCGACTGACGCGAGAGGATCCTCTACCGCGCGACTCTACCGCCGGACGTAGCCGAGAAGTCGTCCCGGAGACCCGTGCGGGAGCGCGCGTGGCCTCGCCTCGTCTCTCCAGTATTACGCGAAACGTACGAAGACAAGAGAGAAATCACGTATATTTATTACGTTGCACGTACTAAAGACTGAGACGGTGGGAGAAACGTTCGCGCGATCGTGTAGCGTTCTAAGACTTTCTTTTAAGGCAAACCGGAAAATCCGTCGGGCGCGTGGAAACGTTGTAGATACGACCGGCTCGCGGGCGACCCCGTTCACCGACGAGGATCCGACTGGTCCGTCGTCATCGGCACCCGTCAAGCACCCGACGCAGCTGTGACACGTACGTGTAGTAAAAGACGATAATTTGAGGCTACTACCGTTCGCCGGTCGCCATTCATTGAGTGTATTCGGCGAATCTGTTATAAACCCGCCCAAGTAATACTCAAGTACGATTCGTCGGAACTGAAAAGGTACATATACATCGTTCACGTTGTTGCTCGGTAATTAGACGTCCGAATTTTTTCGTCGTCTTCCTTTTGTTTTGAGAGGCTATCGATGAAACTGTCGTTAAAACAAATCGACGAGGTCTCCGATTATTTCATTTCTACTGCATGCGAGGCGTTCGTTCTAGGTAATGTTTAATGGATTCGCGACGCGAGCATCGTGATCTGGCATCGTGGTCTCGTAATCGTTATTTATTCTAAAAGATCCCATTTTTCAGCGCTTTGGGCGCCTGTTCTCCTGAGAAAACGGGCGCAATCCCCGACTCAGATCGCGTGCTTGTACATACATAGATGATAGTTATATATTTTGCAGCTACGCGAGCCGATCGGCGATTCCACAGTTTATCCTAAAAGTGTCTGTTGTAAATAACTGTCGACCCTTCACGCGACGGTAATGACGCCCGGGGGCACCGCGAGCGTGGTAAATTATTTTTATATCCTTCTCATAACTCTCTCTCTCTTTCTCTCTCTCTCTCTCTCTCTCTCTCTCTCTCTCTCTCTCTCTCTCTTTTGCCCTTTCCTCCCTTTCCTCATTTCTCCGCTTCTCGTAATTGCGACGAGAAGCACGCGGACGTAAAGAAAGAAAAGAAGAAGAAATATCTTTTGCAAGTGCTGTAGGTCCTGCTCCTTGGACGAGAGGACGGTGATTCTAGGATTGTGCATAATAGATGTATTAATTATTGCTCGTAATTTATGCAAATAAACATATAAGAGAATTAAATAAACGGCACGAGAAATTGAGTTCCTAGTGGTGGTATATTACTCTTGTGCCTCCTGTGTCACGCTAAGAGAAAGTCGCAAGGATGATTACACTTAATAAAGGTAATGGACAACTTTTATGCCGTGCAGCGGCATTAAATATTTATAAACATTAATAACGCATGAAACAACATCTTATACCTGATATCGGACATTTAATAGCAATATGCAAATGAGACAACGCTAATAAGTATTTCTGCCAGGTAAAAAATCAAATGAGAAATCGACGGCTCGTCGATCGCGGCAGGTCTCTCGACGGCTTCACCGCATCCTGTCACCGCGCGCTCCGTTCTGCTGCGCGGCGGAGCAGAGGAGAAACCGAGTCGCGACGGGCATTCGGAGGAGCGACAAGTTGACTCGCTCACGAGATCGAGAGAAAGAGAGAGACACCAAGGACGCATTCTCGCAGAGACGTGGTCTCCACCAGGAGCGTTCCTCGATCGCGGATCTCCGCGACGAGATCTACGAGCTAACTCGCGATCCTCGGCCCTACCTCGACGTGCGCGAGCGCGCGCGCGCTGTGTCTCTCGCGGGACTATTCAATATTTTCCCATTACACGATGCGCGCCGCCGTCGACGTACTCCCGCGAAATATAGCCAACTGGTTCCCCAGCTGGACGACTTCATAACTCCTGCGCCGAGTGAATGTCGTGGGAGGCCCATGCCCCGAGGAGGACTGGTTCGGTTCTCCTCCTCCACTCCTTCCTCCTCCTCCTCCTCCGCCGCCTCCTCCTCTTCTTCTTCCTCCAAACCTCCTCTCGCCCTTCCACCTTTTTCTCATCGCGTTCTTTCTTCCTGCATCTCTGCCTTCTTCCACCGTTTCAACGTCCAGCGAATGTTGCACGTGATGATAACGAACGCAGGAATCCCGCAGGAATCTCCGCGCGCGGGATAAAAGGACCCTGACCGCATACGAACAGGCATCCGCGCTAATGGTACCAACACTCCACCGCCGACCTACCGGCTTTCTTTCCCCACCCTCTCTCCCTCCTTTCACCTTTTTTTCCGCGCTCCTTCCCCGATCTTCCTTCTGCCGCTGTTGTTGCTGCTGGTGCTGCTGCTGTTGCTGCTTCCTCCTTCTGCCGAGTTTCTACCGACGGACCACCGTCGTTCTTTCATTTTCCCGCCGTGTCCGCAGATGAGAGATATTTCTCTCAAGTTTGTAAGCGCGTTTATAAATACTTGAGTATCGGTCGATGTTAATGGTTGTCATTTGTGCGCTTTCTTCAATTCACTTTCGTTAGCTTTATTGTTATTGATTATTGTTGGCGGGAAAGGACGGTCAAAGGGACAGTAGAGTTATTGAGTGAATTTATAGACAAGAGATTTTATTTTTGCCTTTATAAAGGATGTAATTTGTAGGTTATACAATAATGATTTGCTCGAAGGGAATGTATCAGATCATGATGCAGCAAATTGCACCAGCTTGATCAACGAAGTTATAATTTTACATCGAATATATTTCCTAATTATGCTTATACATCGGGTAGAGAATGATAGGTATTCTTTTTTTTTTGTTGACGTGAAACAATATCATGAGATTTTGATATCATCATCATTATAGTGTGATATTTGCGAACAATTTGAGAATGAATTGGCCAAGAAGTTTGAATTGCTCTCTCTATTATTGCGCAAGCTCAATCAACTTCCGCCATCGAAATCTCGATCATCCGCCAAAGTGGCGATCCACTCCCGGCGACGCCTCGGCTCGGAGGGATGGTTTACCGTGATAGTAAAACAAATTCTTGTCACGAGAGAGAGAGAGAGAGAGAGAGAGAGAGAGAGAGAGAGAGAAAGAGAGAAAGAGAGACTGCCAACGTTCCGGCAGACAAGAATCTCGGGCAGTCGGACCACTTCTCACGGCGGCCCCTTTGATCTTACCTGACCCACCCACCCCCTCGGTCCCCCACCTCGGCCAACAGACACCAGCAGCCCTTCTCTCCTCCGCCCTCCAGTGAGTTCGGGTTTTTACCCCGACATCGGGGCATCGGGCAGCCGACGACCAACCCTCCTCCTCCGTCTCTCCTCCTCCTCTTCCTTTTCCTTCTTCGCCTCATTCCCCTTGAATCTCCTTGCATTCTCAAAAAGCGTCCTGGAGGCGACCGAGGTGGGTTCATTCAGTTTTACTATTATTACGCATACCGTCACGCGTGCGGCTCGTTTCAACGCCGGAGAATGCAATCCTGGAGCCCGATGCGACTCCGCGCCTAGTAGAGGCGTCGGCTTAATGGAGTCCCCTCGAATGTGCGAGAGACTGATAGAACGAATAAATACGTGTCATTAAAGGGTCCATCGGTCCTTTCCAAGATTTACCTGTCGCGAATGCGGAAAGCAGCGCCTGTCAGTTTTCGCGGAGTCCTCATCGCTCGAGATCAAGATGGCTGCGCTCGCATTAATTTATCGCAATGTTGCGACGAGTAAATCCGATCAATTTATCGATTCTGTCCCCGTTAATGCGAAAACGCCGGCGGCTCTGGCTAATTAGAAATAAAGCGCGCCACCGACAGCGCGATCGACACTTTCTATTGGCGCTCCTTTCGTCGCTCCTTATCGCGTCCTTTGAATCTTTCGCATGGTTCCTCCGTCGGACGAAGTGGAGAGCGATCCCTGTCTACGGTGCTGCGATCTGATACAGGCGACGAAAACATTTAGAGGTTATAAGAGCCCCTGGAACGATAAAATCGGGGCAGCCAGGCGGGCGGAACGACACGCGGCGTGTCGTGCACGAACACACGCGCGTGGCATCCTGATGGGCTTCTCTTCGCCGGCCAGTCCGCACGCGGAGGCGCTCGATTGTCATCCCCGCGCGGTGCATTTCGTATTCCTGAAGCGCAGGTCGGATACGAGCGCTGATATACGCGGAGGCTGCCCGTATCGCTTGCGAGAAGCCGAAAAGAGTCACCGCACTCCTTGTCATTTCTTCCGATTTGCAGTATCGCGGACAGCGTGTAAGCTCAAGTTACTCTAATTACTCGGTTAATCACTTAGAAGCAACGTAGGCCACTTCAACTGAGAAATGCCCTACTTATTTAAATTGAAGCTTAAGTTACATTTAAATTTAAGTTGAAGTTTACTCACTTAAATTCAAGTTGAAATTTTAATTTTAATTAATGTTTAAGTTGAAGTTTAATTCAAGTAAGAGTCAAATTCACGAGAAAACATATCGGGGAAAAAATATAATATCAACGAAGAAATCGAAGGAGAATTCCCGATGATGATTAGAAAGTTTGTTCTTCAATCCAAAAAATTCCTCCACCTCATCCTCGAACGATTTCCGATAAAGAAAGAAAAGACGCACGCGTCGTCCACGTAAATCTACTAATTTATCTTTTTTGCGATCCAGCCAAAGATGGCCCATCCTATTCGTCGTCGTTGTCGTCCACACCGTAGTCGGGATGTAGCCCGCAGGAATGGCTGGAATCCTTTCCGGCTGAACCTGGAGCTCCCCGTCGTCGTCGTCGTCGTCGTCGTCGTCGTTGTAGTGGCTATCCGTGGGAAAGAATATCGGCTGATGTTCGGGACCACACCGTCGAATTATCGGTGTTTTGGCATGTTTAAGGCCCCAACATAGCGCACCCCCTATCCCTCCCGGCTGCCTTCGACTGGACTCGCTCCCTCGGCCTCCTCGCTGCTGTCCTCTTCGCGAAACCAGCAAGGAGAATCTCCGGCGGAATCCGCGTCCCCAACTGTGGGAACGAAATCGCGGTACGGCCATGGCTTGTGGAACAAACGTGTACCAACGTGTCGGTCGACACCCGGATTCCTTTCGTATCCTCCGGCTTTCCCTTTCCATGCAACTTCCGAGAGAGTCCTTCTTCCTTCCCTCCTCCTCTTTCTCCCAGTCGCCTTCCTGATCGATTCTTATCTTCAGATAGTCTTCTCATGCGACGTTCGACGAAATTATTAGCGAGTTTTGGCGAATATTCGGGAGCGGAGGAATAGCTTCTAATTGGCTCGACAGAATTTAAGTTTCCTCGTTGATTCGCGGGAAGAGGAAAAAGAGAGAGGAGCATTTCTCGCGTGGCCGTCCCGAAGAGGCGACAGTCTCGGTGCGTAAGAAACCGGGCTCCCTCTTTGCTCTCTCATCCGTGACGGTCGTAGTGAGTAAGTAAGTCATTGAAGAAGCCGAGGAGCGGATCGGACCACCCTGGGCGATCTCGAGCGATAATCCAGCGGGCACCACCGAGTAGATTTACGTATCGCGTTCGCCACGGGTCCCGGGAGCGATGCGCATTCGTGGATCCTACGAGAGCTTCATTACTTTTTTCTGGATCGGCGCACGATGAATGACTTAATTCCCCGAAGATAGAGACGGACAGTCGCGACGGTCGATATCAGCGACGACGGCGGCGGCGGCGGCGACGGGGAGACGGGCGAGCCGGAGGAAGGCGAGGAAGAAGAGGGTTTCAGGGCGCGTAATACGTGTCCGGCGGTCGCGTTCGCCTTTGCAAGATCGAGAAGCGGAGATGACGCCGTGAGTGGCGTGGCGAATCACTGAGGCACCGCCCGGGAAAATCAACAATTGGACTCCCCTTAATTTGAAAAACACACACAGCGTTCTGCTCCGTTCTCCGCTCGGGCCTGTCCTTACTGACTTTTTCTGGAGACTCCTTCCTCCTCCTCCTCTTCTTCTTCTTCTCCTTCGTCTTCGCGGCTCTCGCGACACTTGTCCCTCGAACTCGCGTCGATTCCCAGGCGGCAGCGCGAAGGCGACGACGGACAAGATCGAAACCGGCACGACTTCGAGGGGTTTGAGACTCCGATAAAAAGCAATCTCCATGTCCAACGCGTGTTTTATTCATATTAACAGTGTTGTAGAACGAAGAGGAATTATGTATTTTCATGTGTCATTTTGAAAAATCGTGCGGCTTTTCGAACGAGCGGATACCAGGCGAGTTTCGGCAATGAAATCGCCCATCTATTTTGAGACGCATACGAAAACATATACTTAAGATCTCCAAGGTGGTTATAATGGCGACCTC